TGATTAACTGTTAACTGACTGATTAACTGTTTACTGACTAGTTAACTGTTTACTGACTGACTAGTTAACTGTTTACTGACTGATTAACTGTTTACTGACTGACTAGTTAACTGTTTACTGACTGATTAACTGTTTACTGACTGACTGATTAACTGTTAAATGACTGATAAACTGTTTACTGACTGACTGATTAACTGTTTACTGACTAGTTAACTGTTTACTGACTGACTGATTAACTGTTTACTGACTGATTAACTGTTTACTGACTGACTAGTTAACTGTTTACTGACTGACTGATTAACTGTTTACTGACTGATTAACTGTTTACTGACTGACTGATTAACTGTTTACTGACCAGTTAACTGTTTTCTGACTGATTAACTGTTTACTGACTGATTAACTGTTTTTCTGACTGATTAACTGTTTACTGACTAGTTAACTGTTTACTGACTGACTAGTTAACTGTTTATTGACTGATTAACTGTTTACTGACTGACTAGTTAACTGTTTACTGACTGATTAACTGTTTACTGACTGACTGATTAACTGTTTACTGACTGACTGATTAACTATTTACTGACTGATTAACTGTTTACTGACTGACTAGTTAACTGTTTACTGACTGATTAACTGTTTACTGACTAGTTAACTGTTTACTGACTGACTGATTAACTTTTTACTGACTAGTTAACTGTTTACTGACTGATTAACTGTTTACTGACTGACTAGTTAACTGTTTACTGACTAGTTAAGTGTTTACTGATTAGTTAACTGTTGACTGACTGATTAACTGTTTACTGACTGACTAGTTAACTGTTTACTGACTGACTTATTAAGTGTTTACTGACTGATTAACTGTTTACTGACTGATTAACTGTTTACTGACTGACTGATTAACTGTTGACTGACTGACTGATTAACTGTTGACTGGCTGATTAACTGTTAACTGACTGATTAACTGTTTACTGACTGATTAACTGTTTACTGACTGACTAGTTAACTGTTTACTGACTAGTTAACTGTTTACTGACTGATTAGTTAACTGTTTACTGACTGATTAGTTAACTGTTTACTGACTGACTGATTAACTGTTTACTGACTGATTAACTGTTTACTGACTGACTAGTTAACTGTTTACTGACTAGTTAACTGTTTACTGACTGATTAGTTAACTGTTTACTGACTGATTAACTGTTTACTGACTGACTGATTAACTATTGACTGGCTGATTAACTGTTAACTGACTGATTAACTGTTTACTGACTGATTAACTGTTTACTGACTGACTAGTTAACTGTTTACTGACTAGTTAACTGTTTACTGACTGGTTAGTTAACTGTTTACTGACTGACTGATTAACTGTTTACTGACTGATTAACTGTTTACTGACTGACTAGTTAACTGTTTACTGACTAGTTAACTGTTTACTGACTGATTAGTTAACTGTTTACTGACTAGTTAACTGTTTACTGACTGACTAGTTAACTGTTTACTGACTAGTTAACTGTTTACTGACTGACTAGTTAACTGTTTACTGACTGATTAACTGTTTACTGACTGACTAGTTAACTGTTTACTGACTAGTTAACTGTTTACTGACTGACTAGTTAACTGTTTACTGACTGACTTAACTGTTTACTGACTGATTAACTGTTTACTGACTGATTAACTGTTTACTGACTGACTGATTAACTGTTGACTGGCTGATTAACTGTTAACTGACTGATTAACTGTTTACTGACTGATTAACTGTTTACTGACTGACTAGTTAACTGTTTACTGACTAGTTAACTGTTTACTGACTGATTAGTTAACTGTTTACTGACTGATTAACTGTTTACTGACTGATTAACTGTTTACTGACTGACTGATTAACTGTTTACTGACTGATTAACTGTTTACTGACTGACTAGTTAACTGTTTACTGACTGACTAGTTAACTGTTTACTGACTGATTAACTGTTTTCTGACTGACTAGTTAACTGTTTTCTGACTGACTAGTTAACTGTTTTCTGACTGACTAGTTAACTGTTTACTGACTGACTGATTGTTGGTTCATCGTTCTGATTGATCTCTGCAGGTGTGCTGTAAAGGACCTTGTGATGGATGAGCCCCTCTGCAAACAGGACTTATCTTCCTCTCATGTTGTGGGACTCAGTTTGTGTAACTCCGCCCCCTTGTTGTGGCGTTCTGAGGACCTGCGCTCACTGAGGTCTCAGGGCCTGGTTGGGGCGCTGCTGGGTTCTCTGCCCCGGACTCCCCGACAGAATGTACGTCTGGGCCGCCCACTGCTACTGCTGCCCGAGGAGGAGAGGCTGCTGAGTGAACGCCATGCTGCCGCCGCACTGCCACCTGCTGACCAGGTCAGTTCAAACACTGCTAACAAGGTTAGCTTACCTACTGCTAACTAGGTTAGTGTTAGCCAAGACTAGTTTATCAGTGAACCCCCCCCTAACCCCCAACCCCTTTTACAGGTGAGCTCTGATTGGTTGTTTATGTGGGCAGGATGCTGAAGGGGCGGAGCTTGTTCAGGAGGCAGAGCAGCAGAGGAGCTATGAGGAGCAGAGTGTCCTCGCTCTGGAAGACAGGAAGTCAGCACTGCTGCAAGCGATGACATCATCACACACAGGTGAGTCTGGGAGCGTAGACGAGGCCCAGCGGCGGCGCCTGGACGCCCTGGACCGAAGCTTCACCTTCCCGAGGTCAGCACTGGCGGTGCAGCTGAGCACAGCAAGGGCAGGGCTTACTCACTGCCCAGAGAGCAGGGCCTTCCTGCAGGCCGACTGGCCAATCAGAGCACAGGCCAGCCCACACTGCCAGGCCAGGTACCAGGTGTTCAGAGACCTGAGGGGGCGTGGCTTCTACCTGACCTCAGCGGGGAAGTTCGGAGGAGATTTCCTCGTGTATCCAGGTGAGTACATGTTGTTCAGGGCGATCAAAGGTGTTATGGTAAAGCGGGTCGTCCTGTAGGTCAGGGTTCGATACCGCTCAGTCAGAGCAGCAAAAAAAGTGAGCTCAGTGCAGCTCAGAGTGACAACCGTGTGTGTGTGTGTGTGTGTGTGTGTCCTCAGGTGATCCTCTTCGGTTCCACGCTCACTTCATCGCCATCTGTCTGTCTGCAGACGAACCTGTCTGTCTGCTCGATGTCCTGTCTGTGGCTCGTCTGGGCTCCAACGTTAAGAAGACGGTCTTGCTGTGTTCGCCGGCGGGAGGCGCCGTCCTGTACACCTCCTTACAGTGGAGCGGGTTGGTTTAGACGGGATGGGGGCGGGGCCAGGAAACAAACAGAACTGGACAGGAGTCAGTGGTCCACGTGGAGCCTCCCTAAGGACCCCTGTTGGACTCAGACAGGCTCCTCCTCCTCCTGCTGCGTTCTCCCAACCGCTCAGCCCGACCTCACCTGAACTTTGACCAGGAGGCGGGACTAAAATGTACCTGTTTGCTTTCCCACATGCTGCTCACCCTCAGGTGTTCAGGGGGGAGGTGACCCTCTCAGGTTAGAAGGGGGGGGGGAGGTGACCCTCTCAGGTTAGACGGGGGGGGGGAGGTGACCCTGCTATCCTCACTGTCTCATTAATAAACTCTCTTTAACGTCTCATGTCTTTTTTTTATTCTACTGATGAAACAAACTGAAAAGATCAAACAGAACTCTCCGCTTCACATCAAAACTCTTTATTACAGGAACAACAACAGTCCTTGAACACATCGTGGTCCTGACCGACTCCAGGTCCAGGTCAGCTTGTAGACTCAGGTGTTCAGTAGAAAGGTAAAGTTCCGTTCCAGTCTATAGCAGCCCCCCCCCACTTGGTCCTGATGGTCATCTCCAGAGAGGGACTCCTCCTCTCAGAGTCCTGATCTGTGGATGCTGCCTCCCAGTGGTGGGAGTGAGTATCTGCAAGACAACAGGAAGTGACACGATCATACATGAGGGCGGAGCCAAAGACCCCATCTACAGTCCAGACAAAGACCCCACCTACAATCAGACAAAGACCCCACCTACAGTCAGACACAGACCCCATCTACAGTCAGACAAAGACCCCATCTACAGTCCAGACAAAGACCCTACCTACAGTCCAGACAAAGACCCCACCTACAATCAGACATAGACCCCACCTACAGTCAGACAAAGACCCCATCTACAGCCCACACAAAGACCCCACCTACAGTCAGACAAAGACCCCATCTACAGTCCAGACATAGACCCCATCTACAGTCCAGACATAGACCCCACCTACAGTCCAGACAAAGGCCCCATCTACAGTCCAGACATGAACCCCACCTACAGTCCAGACATAGACCCCACCTACAGTCAGACAAAGACCCCACCTACAGTCCAGACAAAGACCTAACCTACAGTCAGACAAAGGCCCCATCTACAGTCAGACAAAGACCTAACCTACAGTCAGACAAAGGCCCCATCTACAGTCAGACAAAGACCCCACCTACAGTCCAGACATGGACCCCACCTACAGTCCAGACAAAGACCCCACCTACAGTCCAGACATGGACCCCACCTACAGTCCAGACAAAGACCTAACCTACAGTCAGACAAAGACCCCATCTACAGTCAGACAAAGACCTAACCTACAGTCAGACAAAGGCCCCATCTACAGTCAGACAAAGACCTAACCTACAGTCAGACAAAGACCCCACCTACAGTCCAGACAAAGACCTAACCTACAGTCAGACAAAGGCCCCATCTACAGTCAGACAAAGACCTAACCTACAGTCAGACAAAGGCCCCATCTACAGTCAGACAAAGACCCCACCTACAGTCAGACATGGACCCCACCTACAGTCCAGACATGGACCCCACCTACAGTCCAGACAAAGACCCCACCTACAGTCAGACAAAGACCCCACCTACAGTCCAGACAAAGACCCCACCTACAGTCCAGACATGGACCCCACCTACAGTCCAGACAAAGACCTAACCTACAGTCAGACAAAGACCCCACCTACAGTCCAGACAAAGACCTAACCTACAGTCAGACAAAGGCCCCATCTACAGTCAGACAAAGACCTAACCTACAGTCAGACAAAGGCCCCATCTACAGTCAGACAAAGACCCCACCTACAGTCCAGACATGGACCCCACCTACAGTCCAGACAAAGACCCCACCTACAGTCAGACAAAGACCCCACCTACAGTCCAGACATGGACCCCACCTACAGTCAGACAAAGACCTAACCTACAGTCAGACAAAGACCCCACCTACAGTCAGACAAAGGCCCCACCTACAGTCAGACAAAGACCCCACCTACAGTCCAGACATAGACCCCACCTACAGCCCAGACAAAGACCCCATCTACAGCCCAGACAAAGACCCCATCTACAGCCCACACAAAGACCCCACCTACAGTCAGACAAAGACCCCACCTACAGTCAGACATAGACCCCACCTACAGTCAGACATAGACCCCATCTACAGCCCACACAAAGACCCCACCTACAGTCAGACAAAGACCCCATCTACAGTCAGACACAGACCCCACCTACAGTCCAGACATAGACCCCACCTACAGTCAGACACAGACCCCACCTACAGTCAGACACAGACCCCACCTACAGTCAGACATAGACCCCACCTACAGTCCAGACAAAGGCCCCATCTACAGTCCAGACATGGACCCCACCTACAGTCCAGACATAGACCCCACCTACAGTCCAGACATAGACCCCACCTACAGTCAGACAAAGACCCCATCTACAATCCAGACAAAGACCCCACCTACAGTCAGATAAAGACCCCACCTACAGTCAGACAAAGACCCCACCTACAGTCAGACAAAGACCCCACCTACAGTCCAGACATAGACCCCACCTACAGTCAGACAAAGACCCCACCTACAGTCAGACATAGACCTAACCTACAGTCAGACACAGACCCCACCTACAGTCAGACATAGACCTAACCTACAGTCAGACACAGACCCCACCTACAGTCAGACATAGACCCCACCTACAGTCCAGACATAGACCCCACCTACAGTCAGACACAGACCTAACCTACAGTCAGACACAGACCCCACCTACAGTCAGACACAGACCCCACCTACAGTCCAGACATAGACCCCACCTACAGTCCAGACATAGACCCCACCTACAGTCCAGACACAGACCCCACCTACAGTCAGACACAGACCCCACCTACAGTCAGACATGGACCTAACCTACAGTCAGACAAAGGCCCCATCTACAGTCCAGACAAAGACCCCACCTACAGCCCAGACAAAGACCCCATCTACAGCCCACACAAAGACCCCACCTACAGTCAGACAAAGACCCCACCTACAGTCAGACAAAGACCCCACCTACAGTCCAGACAAAGACCCCACCTACAGTCAGATAAAGACCCCACCTACAGTCAGACAAAGACCCCACCTACAGTCAGACAAAGACCCCACCTACAATCCAGACAAAGACCCCACCTACAGTCAGACACAGACCCCATCTACAGTCAGACACAGACCCCATCTACAGTCCAGACATAGACCCCACCTACAGTCAGACACAGACCCCATCTACAGCCCACACAAAGACCCCACCTACAGTCAGACAAAGACCCCATCTACAGTCAGACACAGACCCCATCTACAGTCCAGACATAGACCCCACCTACAGTCAGACACAGACCCCATCTACAGTCAGACACAGACCCCATCTACAGTCCAGACATAGACCCCACCTACAGTCAGACATAGACCCCACCTACAGTCAGACAAAGACCCCACCTACAATCCAGACATGGACCCCACCTACAGTCAGACAAAGACCCCACCTACAGTCAGACAAAGACCCCACCTACAGTCAGATAAAGACCCCACCTACAGTCAGACAAAGACCCCACCTACAGTTAGTTCAATGTCTTACCTACAGTCAGCTTACAGGTGTGTTTCTGGGAGTTTTGTCCGTTGTAGTAGTACAGGTTGAACAGATGTTCCATCCTCCAATCAGAGAGCAGTGAGCGCTTCAGGCTGAACACCACGGAGCAGCTACTGTTCACACTGACGAGCCAGACAGGAAACCGGGGGGTCTTCAGCATACTGCCCACCTACACACACACACAGACACACACACATCAATGTGAAGCACTGATTGGTTGAATGGCCACATCATCAAAGAGAAGTACTCCACCTCTCATCAGGTGGCCATGCCTCCTCGGAGGGCAAACGCTCCACCTCTTCAGGTGGCCACGCCTCCTCAGAGGATAAAAGCTTCACCTCTCTTCAGGTGGCCACTCCTCCTCAGACGATAAAAGCTTCACCTCTCTTCAGGTGGCCACTCCTCCTCAGACGATAAAAGCTCCACCTCTCTTCAGGTGGCCACACCTCCTCAGAGGGTAAAAGCTCCACCTCTCTTCAGGTGGCCACACCTCCTCAGAGGGTAAAAGCTCCACCTCTCTTCAGGTGGCCACACCTCCTCAGACGATAAAAGCTCCACCTCTCTTCAGGTGGCCACTCCTCCTCAGACGATAAAAGCTCCACCTCTCTTCAGGTGGCCACACCTCCTCAGACGATAAAAGCTCCACCTCTCTTCAGGTGGCCACTCCTCCTCAGACGATAAAAGCTCCACCTCTCTTCAGGTGGCCACACCTCCTCAGAGGGTAAACGCTGGTCATCATGATTCTTGATGTTACATGTTCTGGAGTTTTTTACACACAGATCAGATCTGTCGTTCTGCAGATCTGTTTCACTGACTGAACTTCATCAGCAGCTCGTCCTCACACGCCACGCGTCACGCCATGCATCATGCGTCCCGTCTTGTGTGTCTCTGGCGCTGGATTTCTGTCCAACAGAACAGAAGCTTTCTGGTCCAGTGTCTGATATCAACACCTTCACAGACAGATCACTCTGTGAGGAAATGATACTGATCTATTATTCATGTTTACATCTATGTGTCTGTTCACAGTCCTCCATAGCAACCACTATAGCAACCACAAACAAACAAACAAACAAACAGTCTGCAGTATCAGGCTGACCTGTGGCAGTGTGCCGTGCTCCGTCTGCTCTCGGCTCCAGTGCAGGTAACCCACATCGCCACGGCTAAGGACACCCAGCAGGGGGTGCTCCAGAGGGCGTCCCTGGTGGTCGCGGTGCACAGTCCCATTGAAGACGTTGGGACGGGCCCGACCAGTCAGGAGCAGGTTGATCAGGGCCTACACACACACACACACACACACACACACACACACACACACACACACACACACACACACACACACAGACACACACACACACACACACACACACACACACACACACACGGTGAGCCCACACTCTACAGGAACACAGCAGGACAACAGGTGAGCACTCACCTGGCCACACACAAAGTTCCCCAGACTCAGGTGGAGCAGGTGGGAGCAGGTGGAGTCCAGGTCCTCCTGCAGCCTGAGAGGAACAAATATTCAAACAGTCACAAACACACTCTCAGGTCCCTGTTGTGTCAGAATCAGGGTTCATTGCCAAGTACATTTACACATACAAGTAATCTGACTTGGTGTGTTGGTGCTAAACAATTAACAAGGAAATAAAGCAGAACTAGCAACAACTTAAATAATACAGAATATACTATATATTATATATATATGTTATATATTATATATATATTATACTAATATATAATATCTAGAATATAATAGATATTACAATATATAAAATAGAATTTAAAAATAAAAAAACAAAAGGTGTAATGTAGGAGCTGTGCAGTGGACTATGAGTTGTGTGAGGTTAGTTGTGTTTACATGTCAGCGCTCTAAAGGAGTTAGAGGATGTGAGCATGCTGTGTGTTTCAGACTACTGGCCTGACCCAGTACTGCAGTGTGGAGGTCGTTATCTAATCGTTAAACTGGTTCAGTTTTCAGTTGATTGTTTTTTTTTTTTGGCGTCCTCAGTTTGTCTAAATTCAGACACCCGTGATGTTAACATCACAGGGTGTAATGACCTGTGCAGCCTGTGGGGGCGCTGTTGTCAGGTCTGGGTTACCTGTCAGCGGCCCGGGAGCAGATGAGGCTGTAGAGGAACAGAATGACTCCATGACTGCCCTCCTCTGTGAACTGAAACACAACAAGAGGTTTGAACTCTGAGCTGAAAGTTAGTAATACAACAACAACAACAACAACAACAACAACAACAACAACAACAACAACAACAACAACAACAACAACAACAACAACAACAACAACAACAACAACAACAACAACAACAACAACCTGTGAGTCACTCACACATTGAACGTGCTCCAGGATGAACCTCCTCACGTCTTCTTTCTGATGAAATGTGAACAACTGCAGCTGAAAGACATTCAGTCAATAAAGATGGAGCGAGACCTCCTCAGAGACCCCCTCAGACACCCTCAGACCCCCTCAGACCCCCTCAATCTCCAAGCGGAGACCCCCCCCAGTGTGTCTGTACCCTCTCTGTGAAGTCGTCCAGTTTGTAGTCCAGGTGAGGTGTGATGCAGTAGTCTTTGGTTACCAAGGTAACGGTGGCACTGATCTCCTGGCCGGCCAACCAGAGGCTGTCAGACAATGCAGCCACCAGCGCCCCCTCCTGGTCCTTCTGTCCTACCTCACACAGACTGGAGGGGGAGGAGACTATAAGAGACACATCAACACCTGTACAGGTAAGTCAGAGGTAACCGTTCTACAGGTGCAGGTATGCATACACAACAAATGAGGAAATGGATGATGTAACATGAGTTAAACGTCCCTCACAGGTGAGGTAAGCGTCCCTCACAGGTGAGGTAAGCGTCCCTCACAGGTGAGGTTAAAGTCCCTCACAGGTGAGGTTAGCGTCCCTCACAGGTGAGGTTAAAGTCCCTCACAGGTGAGGTAAGCGTCCCTCACAGGTGAGGTTAGCGTCCTTCACAGGTGAGGTTAGCGTCCCTCACAGGTGAGGTTAAAGTCCCTCACAGGTGAGGTAAGCGTCCCTCACAGGTGAGGTTAAAGTCCCTCACAGGTGAGGTTAGCGTCCCTCACAGGTGAGGTTAAAGTCCCTCACAGGTGAGGTAAGCGTCCCTCACAGGTGAGGTAAGCGTCCCTTGCAGGTGAGGTTTGTTTGCTTCATGTTGGTTGTGAAAGGTGTGCATGAAGTTTGATGTTTCAGTGTCTTACATCATCTCTCAGGTGTCTGATTGCTAACAGGATGCTAACAGGATGCTAACAGGTGTAAGTATCATCTTCACCATGACACCTGTGTGTCCTCACCTGTGCAGGGTCTGAGTGTCTGAGCTGCTCTGTCTGATGAACAGCAGGTTTTTAATGATACGAGCCTGAACCACCATCTGTATGGTCCGAGC